GTTTTACGACCTCTCTTGCTACCATTGTTAAATGAATCCCTGCAATTGTTAAGTTAGAAACCCAGTTGTTAAGCGAATCCGGCTTCCCCCATTGATTTTGCTTGTCAGAAGGTCAAAAAAAGGGGATCACGTGACCCCGGGGGGACGCTGCGACCGTCATAAGTATGAACCAGTTGCCAAGGGTCTGAATTTGGAGAACGTGACCGTGGGAGAGGCTGCAACGGTCATAAATGTGAATAACGGTCCTAAGTCCCTTTTTTCAGCGCCCTCGTAACTTCAAGCAGCCACTAAATGAATTGTTGTAAGTCAAGGACTTCCTGTACTGCTGCTGTTGTGACCCAGATGTTTACCTTTTTTCACCTTGAGTCACGGTTCCATTTAAGAATAAATGAATCTCAAAATACTCTCCCAGGTAGAGAGAAAGGCTGATTCTTTTGCCATTGTGATAGTCACCTGCAACGAAACAAAAGGTGAGTGGCATTTCTGCTAACAATCCTTGGCTTGCTCTCCTTTTTTTTTTAGCAACTCGGGGTAAATTATGAGAAGCGATTGTTCCTATTTTGTAAAACTTGCATTTAGTATATAATTACCAGCTCTTCGGTGGGCTAATTTCCAAACATCCTGCAAAAGCTACAAGGCCAGGGGTGTCCACAGAAAACAGGTTGGTTTGTTTTTTTTTAAGGTAAAGATGACCATCTAATCAAAAGTTCGCTTTTTTTTACGTGGATAGTCGGAACAAATGAAAAAGGCAAAGCAGGTATCAGCGTGGCGAAAAGTTCAAATCGAAAAAATTTCTCCAACATTTTTACCAGAAGTGCAAAATGGCTTCTCTTGTAACTTCGTGGAATCATAGGAAAAATCTGCAAAAGTCCCATCCCCTGGGGCATTGACAGTACAAGAAATCTAGTGGCATGCCATTCGGGATAGACAGATGTCAAAAATCTGTCTGAAATCTCTAGTGAAGGAGGATCTAGTAGGGCTGAGAAGAGCAAAAGGGATGATCAAGGGTTTGGAGGCTAAAGCAAAACGATGAACAATTGAGGGATGTAGATTCATTTAGTCTAATAAAGAGGAGGACTAGGGTGACATGATAGCAGTCTTGCACTACTTGAGGGACTATCGAAGAGAAGGGGGTCACCCTGTTCTCCAAAGCCCCTGAAGGCAGGACGAGAAGCAATGGGTGGAAACTAATCAAGGAGAGAAGCAACCTGGAACTAAGGAACTTCTGACAGTGAGAACAATCAATCAGTGGAACAACCTGCCTCCAGAAGTTGTGAATGTTTAAACACTGGAGGTTTTTAAGAAGAGACTGGACAGCCCATTTATCTAGGGTGATATGGGGTCTTCTGCTTGAGCAGGGCATTCTACTAGAAGACCTTCAAGGTGCCTTTCAACTCTATTATTCTATGTCCTACATTTTGTTAGAGCAAGAGACATTTTTGTAGTTGCACTTAATAATAGAATAGAATAGAATAGAATAGAATAGAATAGAATAGAATAGAGTAGAGAATAGAGAATAGAATAGAGAATAGAGAATAGAGAATAGAGAATAGAGTAGAGTAGCGTAGAGTAGAGTAGAATAGAGAATAGAGAATAGAATAGAGAGTAGAGTAGAGTAGAGTAGAGTAGAGTAGAGGAGAGGAGAGGAGAGGAGAGGAGAGGAGAGAATAGAGAATAGAGAATAGAGAATAGAGAATAGAGAATAGAGAATAGAGAATAGAGAATAGAGAATAGAGAATAGAATAGAATAGAGAATAGAATAGAGAATAGAGTAGAGTAGAATAGAATAGAATAGAGTAGAGTAGAGTAGAGTAGAGTATAGAATAGAGAATAGAGTAGAATAAAATAGAACAGAACAGAACGGAATAGAACAGAATATGGAATAGAATAGAATAGAATAGAATAGAATAGAATAGAATAGAATAGAATAGAATAGAATAGAATAGAATAGAATAGAATAGGAGCTGGAAGGGACCTTGGAGGTCTTCTAGTCCAACCCCCTGCTCAAGTAGGAGAACCTATACCATCTCAGACAAGTGACTGTCCAGTCTGTTCTCGTGGAACATCTCCCATCTCTAAGCAAGCTCCCTTATATTGTGCCAAATTGCTCATTCTTCTAATTTGGAGAACCTCAGAGAACATCCAGGAAGCATTCCACAGCACTTCCAAAATGCAGCATATTAAACTCACCAAGTAAGAGGAAAGACCTCTTCTCACAGTCTCCAGCGAGCAGGTAGCTGCAGTCTCCGGCAAAATCATACAGGAGTTCGTCGAAGGTTTTAATGTGATCGTCTCCAAAAAGGCTACAGCGTGCAAATGGCGGAGAGAAATCTTTTTGCCCTGCGAGATCAGGATTAGTTAACATAGGATGTCCAAAGCAGAGAAAGGATGGTGAAGTTCTACCATTTTCAGAGAGCAATAGCACTTAAGACTTATATGCCGCTTCACAGTGCTTTACAGCCCTCTCTAAACGGTTTACAGAGTCAGCCTGTTGCCCCCCCCAACAACCCGGGTCTTCATTTTACCGACCTGGGAAGGACGGAAGGCTGAGTCAACCTTGAGTTGGTGAGAATCGAACTGCTGACAGTCCGCAGAATTAGCCTGCAATACTGCATTCTAACCACCGTGCTACCACGGCTCCTGTTTATGCTATTTAGATTATTATTATTATTATTTTATTTTGTGTGTTTGTTGCTTAATGTAATGTGCGTGTGTCTATGTCTATGTATGCCTGTGTATGTCTGTGCTATTCCCAAGCTAGCAAAGGGATTTAATTAATGTAAGTGTGGGTAATAATAAACAATAACAGCCAAAAAAAAAAACCTCTCCAAAGAACAGTGGATAATTTTTAAAATTAGCATGCGATAAAACAGTTTAACGAATTTTTAAAATAGCATACATTCATAAAACATTTAACATTTATTTTATTTTTTGTGTTTGTTGCTTAATGTAATGTGCGTGTGTCTATGTCTATGTATGCCTGTGTATGTCTGTGCTATTCCCAAGCTAGCAAAGGGATTTAATTAATGTAAGTGTGGGTAATAATAAACAATAACAGCCAAAAAAAAACACCTCTCCAAAGAACAGTGGATAATTTTTTAAAATTAGCACGCGATAAAACAGTTTAACGAATTTTTAAAATAGCATACATTCATAAAACATTTAAAACTCAAACTTAGGAGTAAAGACCTGGCGTTTCGTTTGGTTTTGTAAAATGTGGCAATAGTGACAGCCCTTAGACTTATATCCCGCTTCACAGTGATTTTGCAGCCCCCTCTAAGCAGTTTACAGAGTCAGCCTCTTGTCCCCCCAAAAATCTGGGTCCTCATTTTACGGACCTTGGAAGGATGGAAGGATGAGGAGCCAAAATATCAGCCACCCTCAGCGTTCAAACTAAAAATTGAAACCCAGCACAGCCAGTCCCATTTTTTTTTAAAAAAGGCCTTTCCTAGCCTCAACGCCTCCATGAACTCAGAATAAAGATGGGCAGGGTTTCCACTGAAGGTGTCCACCGTGAGCTCCAGAGAAAAAAGAAGAAAAACCACAGGGCAAGCTAGCTCTTGGGGGGTCCCCCAGTTTTCTTTTGGCAAAGCCCACAGACTTGGGATATGGCGAAGAATGAAAAACATCCGGGGTCCTTTCCTCTCCTGGGGCTTTACAGTGCGTTGAGTAGGAAAAGGCAAGTTTCTTGTTTATATACTACTAAGCCGCAGTGTAGTTTGCTAGAATCCTGAATTTGGTAAGAAAGTCAATAACAAAGGTTCGGATTCAAACGACTTTCAATTCTTTGTCCAGGTCACTGCAGGGGACAAAAACTGATCTAATTGGAGAGTTCTCGGGGTGGAAAGAGGGTGGTAAAACGCTAATACGTGCTAATGACTTGACATTCACCAACAGGCAACGATATTTTGCAGAGTGACCATGCTCTGGGCAGAAAGCTTGTGCTAAATGCACAGGTTGTTTGAACAAGAACGACATGAGGGTAGCATAACCAAGCGGGCAAATTATGGACTTCTTACCCAGCGTTGATTGAGGCAGAGCTAAGAGCAGCAGTAGTAAATATCTGGAACCAATCATCTGTGGAGTAAATGTTAAAAACAAGAGTCATTCGGAGAAAAATCCCAACGGTGGTCACTGGATTACACTGGGTTTGCTTCAAAGAAGGGTAGACCGAAAAATCCTATCCATTGCTATTTTTTTCCCCAATTGTGTGCATTTACATCTAGTCAACTCAGCCCCCCCCCCGCCATTAAACAGTTTGAAACATGTATAGAAATATTGCTGGTAAGTCACTCCAACAGTTTCTAAATACAGCAGTCAAAAAAGTCCTAGAAATTAAGGAGAGCATTATTGTTATTTTTTGGAATCACAAATCAGTTCTAAACTACTTTGAGCTCAACGCAACCTTACAAAGGATCCCACTGGAGGATCTAGGAGGAGACAGTCTAGTTGAACTTGACTGCCCAGTAGGGATTTAACACAAGAATAACAATCTGTTAAGCTCTAGGGATCCTGGTCCTATCCAAAATTCAAGAAGGATCACTGCGCCCAACACCTTGTTCCTCGGGAATTCTGTTCCGTTAAAAGTGCCCAATCCTTATTCCAGGCATGGTTGTTTGCCTCCAATAAAATCAGAACCGTAAGGTTAAACCGGTATTCATCTTAAAGATCTCCCCCCTCCTCGCATTTATTGACAGACCCTGGAGTTAGAGTTGGCCTGTTGGCCAACACTCAACTGCGTTGTTGTGTGTTGGCCGTGTGGTCTCTTTTTAAGGAGAGCTTAGATACCTTTGCTTCGTGCCAAAATCCGTTGCCCAGCACTTATGAGCCTGTCGGAGCCTGTTCGGCTTCAGAAGGCTACATTGGACTGACCTGGCCGACTATTTATTCCAATTGTACAAGCCAGGCAGGAACTCTTGTTCGTTGGAAGGGAAGATAAAGCCAGGCTGTTCCTTCCGCCCAGTCCTTCACACAATGCTGTGATCAGGAAAATCAGCTGCTTTAATGGTGCGCAAGGAACAATGAAAGGAAGTTGTATTAAATACTTTCGCAGGACAGATCAACCTTTGAAATAAAAATTCTGCTGGGGTACGGCGAGTAAGATGTGAAAGTCCACGAAGAGAAGAGGGAAATGCTGGGATTAGAGGGCAGGGCAAGAAGTAATGGATGGAAAGTCGTTAAACAGAGAGGCGACCTAGACGTAGGGGGAAAATTCCCGACATTGAGAACAATTAACCAGTTGGAAAGGCTTATCTCCGGACGTTGTGGGTACTCCATCACTGGAGGTTTTCAAGAAGAAACTGGACTAGCGTTTGTCTGGGGTGATATATAGTCTCTGCTTGGACTAGAAGACCTCTAGGGTCCCTTCCAGATCTATGCTTCTATGCTCTAAAGTCCTGACTGTGTGAATGGATCATAAATTCAATACTCCTCAGTTTTTTTCTATGCATTTATCTAGTTTGAGTGAATCAGGAAAAAATTGTGTGTTAGGAGAAAAGTGCAAAGGGATGCATCTGATTGCTACACGTTTGTTCCTACAGACCTGGATGAATGAGTGAACGGGGCTCAAATAACTGTTATGGAGTCAGAAATATGAGTAATTAAGCCATTGCTTCCAACTGGTCACCCAACTCGTGAATAAGAATGTTAAGGAGTTGATAGGACTAAGACTGAGCACTTGATGCTTGCTTTATATTTGTTTTCATCATGAGTCTCTTTACTGCCCTGCTAATCAGCGTGTCATTGGGTAATTCATCAAAGGCTTTCCAGAAAATAAGATGTATATGATCGACAACACACTGAAACTTAGGAAGGACATTTGAACTTCTGTGCCCAGCCGATCCCTTGGTCCATTAAGTTTCATTCTAGAATCTTTTCCAGATTTCCACTGCAATGAGAATTTGTTGTTCACTGAATCCACTTTCTCAAGGTGCCATCTAGCACTTCACCAGTACTCCAGGATGCTCACCTTTACAGGTGGGCCCCCTTCATCTCCCTCCATTCCCGTTCACTTTTCAATAGTGTCTTTCACAGAATAGCAAAACGACAGAATTGGAAGGGACCTTGGAGGTCTTCTAGTCCAACCCCTTGCTTAGGCAGGAAACCCTATACCATTTCAGACAAACGGCTGTCCAATCTCTTCTTACAAACCTCCAGTGTTGGAGCACCCACAACTTCTGGAGGCAGGTTGTTCCACTGGTTAATTGTTCTCACTGTCTGGAAGTTTCTCCTTAGTTCCAGGTTGCTTCTCTCCTTGGTTAGTTTCCATCCATCGCTTCTTGTCCTGCCTTCAGGGGCTTTGGAGAATAGCTTGACTCCCTCTTCTTTGGGGCAGCCCCTGAGCTACTGGGAGACTGCTATCATGTCCCCCCTGGTCCTTCTCTTCATTAAACCAGACATACCCAATTCCAGCAGCCGTTCCTTATATGTTTTAGCCTCCAGTCCCCTGATCATCTTTGTTGCTCTTCTCTGCACTCTTTCTAGAGTCCCAACATCCTTTTTACATTGTGGTGACCAAAACTTTTGTCTATTGTTGAATGTGAGCCTCTCCAATGCATTGGTAATCCCTTTCCAATAAATACACCATGTTCAATCTTGACAGCAGGAGGCACCAATTTCCTTATCCCGGTGTCTCTTCTCCCGCTGCCGAACCTGATTCTATTTAGGCAACTTGGCAACACAATCCTACACTATAGTTTGTTCTATCGAGAAGTAAGTCCCACTGACTTTGATGGGACTTTTCCCCAGAATGCTTTGCAGTCTCGGAAATGGAAGTTGAGTCCTACTCTGACTACATCAGATGCATGTCTGTCCGTCGCTTTTGTTTATTATCTCAATTGATAGGACAGCCCGTCTCAAATTCATGATTTCGGCTGCTTACAACAATTAAAAAACTACGGAGATTCTTCATTATAGTTTGCTTATAGACAGAAGAAAAAGAAATATAAAGTATATATATAAAACAGTCATACAAACTATATGGCAATAGACCACATATGTCTCAGAGGTCCCCAACCCCGGGTACACACGCACACATCTTGACTTGCGCGAGTGGCGGGCTGGCACATGTGCACACGGACAGGCACTCAGCTCGCGCAAGTCCAGCTGTGCATGCATGTGTGTGCACACCAGCCTGCCACTCACACAGGTCAAACTGCACAAGCATGCACACAAACGCATGCTGGCCTGCCACTGGCACAGCCCAGTCCCCCTCCCCTCCCCTCTAGCCAGGCCACCAAGCCCCAAAGGTTGAGGACCACTGTCCTAGTTAGTGGACATTGATTGCCAGGTGAGACAGTGGCTTGCACTGAATAGTGTGAGCATCACACTCACCTCTGTTGTGTTTTTGGCACACAATCCAAATTAACGGATACTGGCCTAAGAATAGAATAGAATAAAATAGAGCTGGAGGGGACCTTGGAGGTCTTCTAGTCCAGTCTATGACAGCAGGCAGTGTCAGATATAGAGAAAATCGTGAAGAATCAAGCTACGTCTACGGTAGCAAAGAACAGATGAGCTAAAGCAATAGCTTTTCTTAGTAAAATACGACCCTTAGTAAAATACGAGAGTGAGGGAAAGACGCTCGTTGCCTTTATGTTACGGATTTGAAGCTGGTTAATGAACGCAGGGCAGTCTGCAAGAATAGCCCATCAATCAACCCTGAAGGAAGTAAAGATTGGCAGCTTCCCTGAGTTAATGATGAGCAAGCAGAAACTCAAAGGATTTTGTGATGTAAGTAAATGAATGGATAAGAAAGGAAAATGTATGACAGAGTTGGAAGGGACCTCGGAGGTCTTCTAGTCCAACCCCCTGCTCAGGCAGGAAACCCTAAACCATTTCAGTCAAACGGCTGTCCAGTCTCTTCTTAAAAACTTGCAGTGTTGGAGCATTCACCGCTTCTGGAGGCAGGTTGTTCCATTGGTTAATTGTTCTAACTGTCAGGAAATTTCTCCTTAGTTCTAGGTTGCTTCTCTCCTTGATTAGTTTCCATCCGTTGCTTCTTGTCCTGCCTTCAGGAGCTTTGGAGAATAGCTTGACTCCCTCTTCTTTGGGGCAGCCCCTGAGATATTGGAACACTGCTATCATGTCACCTCTATACGTAATGGGGTCTCACTGAATGGCACCTAGTTCCTCAGACCCCTTGACTTTCTCTTAGGGAAACAGTATCGTATCCACAACCTGGCTGACCAAGATCCATATAGTCAAAGCTATGGTCTTCCCAGTAGGGAGAGGACAGATAATTAAGCTGGAGCTCAAAGACAAAGGCAGCTCTTTCGAAGACAGCAAAGTCCACATACTGGACAGAGAGGACCGCTGGCTTGAAAGAGGGGTCAAAGAGGCCATCTAGGTCAACATTGACAGCCCTCTCTCAACAGAAGGGGAGGGATACGACATCCTCTATCTTTGGTTTACAACACAATCCTTTCAGCAATTCCAAGAAGGCTCCTCACCCATCCATGGGGTCACAAAGAGTCGGGCACAATCTAGCAACTGGTCAACAACGAATCCATCCAAAAGATGGGAGCGTGTAACATTCGCGATTCAACAGCCGCAAGAAATTATCCAGCTTGTGGCAACGTGTAAGGAATAGAGAATGTGGGGCAGATACTCTAAATACTCCTGCTTCTCAATCTTAGCATTGCAGGAATTAAAAAAAAAGAAAAGCCATGGATTCTTTGTAATCTCACAAAAAATAGGCACCGTTTCCCACCGCAACAAGCCTTTGAAACAGAAACTGATGCAAACAGAAAGACTTATCTATTACTCAGGGCAGTGTTGCAACCTGAATAAAAAAGTTAGACAATCTTCCGGGAAGGCTTTTGTAAATCTACCTGTCAACTTCCTGATGATGCCAAGCTAGTCCAAGGTGAAAAACGTCAATTCCTCAAGAGCCTGTCAGATGTCACAACTCTATTTATTCCATCAGTAACGGGCTAAAAGTCTGCCTTCAGGCAAAACAGAATAATAAGTAGTGCATTTAGTCAATCCTGACTGTTCTTTGGAAGGACAGATCCTGAAGCTTGAAAGCGCAAAGTCTTTGGCCACCAAATAAGAAAAGACACCCTGCTCAGGCAGGAAACTCTGTACCATTTCAGACAAATGGCTGTCCAATTTCTTCCTGAAAACTTCCAGTGTTGGAGCAT